CGTTAGTCGAAGGTGTATATGGGTACACGGCGAGTTTCACCAGGCGGCGCTTTTTCTCTCCACCCTCGCGCTAGAACCATTTGGTGCCCTGATCCGGGCTAGGAATCACATGCTCTCACCACGGGACGTCACCACACCACTACACACATGGTTTATCGAATGCGAAGCCGCATTGCCAAAGGACGTGCGTGAAATTTTAGAATAGGAGCGACTAAAGCGGTTGGACACTCGACTCCAACACGTACTCGGTTTGAAGGTGCATGGCAGCAGATACGCCGTGCAGGTGCAGGCCACGAGGCGCATGAAAACCGAACCCACTTTCAGGCCACACGCAGCGTTTGTTCTCACTGACGGGGTATGGCACCGGCGACTGGCTAACCGCGATTCCGACTTGCCCCAAACCGACGAATAGGCCCGGTACATTTCGCCAACTCCGTTCGCTTTCGGCTCGGGCTCCCTTTCTCAACGCCAAAGAAATGCGACTGCTCTGACCACACACCTATCACCAACCCCCGCCTCCCAAATCACCTCTTTCGCTGCGGCACGGGTAGGCACCGCATCAATACCCACTACGAACTGCGTAACGCATGCGTCAGCATGGCGCAGGACGCGGGGTTTATCGTACACAGGGAATCAGCCGCCCACTGTCCCATTGAAGAGCAAACCGCTGACTTCACCATGACAGACCGTAGTAGCGGGGCAGTCTACGTCTGTGATGTGACCATCACGGACCCTATCAGCATAAGGGACCCTGAAGCACAGAAAGGCAGGGGGTGGGCGGCAAGGGAGCAAGCCGACAAAAAGATACAGCACTACGCTAACCGCCCAGATACGGTTAGCTTCTTCCCGCTGGCTGTGGAAACCTACGGCTGCCCTTGTGCCGAGGTACCTGTTTTTCTGAAGCTCTTAGCAGACACGGCGGCTCGGCGCCACTTCAACGCCGACTCAAAATCCTTTCATGCCGCGAAGTTTCTGCACCAGTTCAGACAGAGATGGTCGGTGGCCCTTCAGAGGGCACAATCTGTAGGCCTCTTAGTCAAGCTCGGGGAGGTTAGACATGATGGTATGGGACAAGTACTAAGATTCGTACAGCCGGATTTCTACAGGTGAACACTGGCTTCATGTTTCGGGCTGGACTCGAACTAATACAAGTGAACACTAGCTTCATGTTTCGGGCTGGACTCGAACTAATACAAGTGAACACTGGCTTCATGTTTCGGGCTGGACTCGAACTAATACAAGTGAACACTGGCTTCATGTTTCGGGCTGGACTCAAACTAATACAAGTGAACAGTGGCTTCATGTTTCGAGCTGGACTCGTACTAATACAAGTGAACACTGGCTTCATGTTTCGGGCTAGACTTGTACTAATACAAGTAAACAATGGCTTCATGTTTTGGGCTGGACTCGTACTATTGCAAGTGAACACTGGCTTCATGTTTCGGGCTGGACTCGTACTAATACAAGTGAACACTGGCTTCATGTTTCGGGCTGGACTCGTACTATTACTACAAGTGCTTCGGAAACACTCACCAAAAACCTTTCCTTTCACCACAGGCTTGAGGCTTCGAAGTGAGACCCGTAGGGGCGCTAGAGACGGCGGGGAGGACGATTGGAGCAACGCTGCAGACGCCGCCGCACCCATGGAGATCATTACACCCGACGCTCAATCACACAGGTTTGGTGACCAAAACATGTCCGACTTGAGACATACGGGGCGATATACTTGAAGAAATTGCTTGAGTTCAAATGCATGCCCACTCACAGATGAAAACGTAGTAGGAAAGCAACACCGTTCATTCCATGTCTGAAGGATGAAGAGCCGCGACTAGGAAGCTTTCAAGTTGCTAGTGAAAAAAAGGGCGTCTGATTTTTCGTTTTCTTCGCGATCTCAGTACACGTACGATGTATGTACTCCGAGTACAAACTATTGAAGCTTGAGGGAGGGGATTACGTACGACTCGATGGATCGTGTTCATGTGAAGTTGACATCGTCGGCTTGACATTCGGGTTGACATCCCTCTGCTTCCTTTGGCGGCTGACTTCGAAGCTGTGTTACTATTTGTCGTTGACTTCCCCATTGCCACATCTCCCTCAACCACTGGAGTGCCGAAGGAGCACATGGCTGCCCGATGCTTTTTTTTTTTCGTCAACAAATTGTGCCGCACGTGGCGAACTCGGCCAAGGCTGGCGAAAGGTCCGAGCACGGTCAGTCTATACATTGGATGGACAACTATCGGCTTATCAAGTCACGCCGCGAATGCTTTCCGAGTTAATTATTCGCCATATAGTCAAGTTAGATTGGACACAGGGCAGGAAAGGGCCAACATCACACCTGGAATGGTTGCTAAAATCTTTGCCGGGGTCGAGCCCGGCACGCCCCGGCACTCCCCGGCAATCCCCCGGCACTCCCCGGCACTCTGAACCGGGTTCACCAGGGCGATGTTCGGCAGCACAGAGGATCCACCAAGGGATGGAGGGGGGGGTCGAAATTCTCAGTTAGGGTTTCTAGTTCGGGGTGGTCAACTCGGAGTCAACCATCGTTGACTCCAAGTCGGGGGTCCAGGCACAAGCGGAACCTTTGGGGGAAAAGGCCCAGATGAGCGACGCGGGAATTGGGGGCCCACGAAAATGCAGCCGCACGAAACAAAACTCCGCGAGCTGAACAGTTTATCTTCTCCCTGCCTCATTTTACTGTTGCGATGGGATTGGGTATATCACTTCCCGAAAACGAGTGCAGCTTGCGTCTTAAGCCAGAGGCGCAGGTCCTCCTTGTCAACACACAGCCCCTGCAGCACGCTCGTGCCATGCAGCCTCTCTCCCTTCAGCCCTAGCACTTGTAGCATTGTCTCCATCGTCCCTTGGAGGCCTGGGCATGGTTCATGTGGTAGAGCATCAACAGTTGCTTGCAGTTTTGTGACAATGAGGAGGTTGCGCAGTGGCGCGGCATCACGGCCGAAATGGAGGACGAGGCAAGGCACAGAAGCAGCGAGAGGATTGCAACAGCCGCGACACGGGGCGTGCAGCCCACCACGTAACACCTGCAAAAGGAGAGGATTTAAAGGCATGGATGTACCTTTGAGGTGCCTAGGAATATGCAGCTCTTCATTTAATGCCTAAGGGAAGGGGGGGAAAAGGAGTACTTTTGAGGGACATGCGAGAACACAGCTGACATTTGCCATATAACACCTAACAAAGGAGGGAATGGGAGGAGTCTCAGCTTGTTACAAGAGTACTCGCAAAGAAGGGTCATAAGAGAAGGCATTTCAAGATTCTAAGGCCCACAGGTTTACGAGTATTAGGCCTTAAGATTCTGAAACCCACATTCAAGCTTTTTGAATTTCTAATGGTAGAGGGATCATGACACCCATAGGCTACAAGGATTGCAACAAGACTATGGGTGTCGGGATTGTGAACGGGCATGTTCCATACGTAGGGATCAGAACAAGCTCGCACTGTTCTTACGTGAAGGGGTCTGCGGTCAAGGCGGGAAGGAAGGTGCCCCCAGCTGCAGCCTCTCTGAAGATTGACACTGCTGCTTGTAGCGCTGATGGACAGAGGAGGAAAGAGAGAGAGCACAGAGTTAATTGGGAAGTAGTATAGAGAAGAGAAGGTTACGTGTGATAGCATGAGGAAATGGATAGGAACACCGACAAAGCACGTTCGAGTGTGTGATGAATGATTTCGCGTTTTTAAGCCACCAAGAAATAACATTCCAATTTGACAAATCTTTCTAGTCAGAAAGTTGCAGAATCCAACCTCGTTTCTCCGTTCCGTCTAAACCGGAGTGAGTTTCAGCCTTCGGCCCTGCTTCACTATATCTCCTATTTCTGCATCAGCTCCCTCGGGGCCGAAGCAGGCGTCAAAGAGCAGAGTGTGGGTGTTTGGTGATGGGTGGAGGGTGGGCTGGTGGGAGGGCGAGATTGGAGAGAGAGCAGGCGAGGGCAAGGGCGGGTGACTGAATGGTGCTTTTTTAGGCACCGCAAACACCCGTTCCTTACAACTGCCGTCCCTCGGGGTCGAAGCAGGCGTCAAAGAGCAGAGTATAGGTGTCTCGTGATGGATGGAGCAGGCGCTGCTAGGAGGAAGAGATTGTGTGGAAGGTTTGGGGTGGAAAGGTGAGGGTGGAATAGGGGGAGAGGAACGCAGAAGTGGTTTTGGAGCTGATTTAGGGGTCAACAAGCAACGTGCAAGTGTTGAATGGCAGGGAAAGAAAGAGCAGCATGACTCAGAGAACGCAGAGAGTGCATGGTCTTAGGACGCGTCAACTCCCACAAAACTTGGTGATCGGTCCTGTGCATGATCGATTTTTTACTAGGTTGGAAGAGGTTTGTTTGCACTTTGGTTGCAAATGCAGGATTTGAGTGCGGTTGAGGATCGATATTGCACGATCGATCGCCGTTTTTTGCAAAAGTTGACGCGTCCTTAGCTTAGACTCTTGAGAATTCAGTCAGGCTAGGAAATGGCAACCTTGGCTCCTCCTAGCCTGGTCAAAAAGCACCCATCCACCGTGCAACCGCCCTTTCAAGCATGCTAGGTAAAGGCTTACCTTCATCTCGCCCCTCGCTTTGGCTTGCACCTATCAGAAATTCTCCACCGCCACCTCCCATTTCCTTTCCCTGCCATGTTACATGCCCTCATCAGTGCGTAGTGATGAGAGCATGTAACACCACCACAGCTCCACCCTCCATCTCCCTCTTCTGTGCCTCTCGAGTCAACTCAAAAGATAAAGGCTTACCTCATTTTCTCCCTCAACCTTTGCCTACATCTCTCGGAACGTCTCCTCTCCACAGCCGCTTCACAATACCCCAAATCCGGACTGCACACAGCCACTCCGTCGTTCTCCACCTCCCTCCTCGGCGACCCTTGCGACTCAAATTAGACAAGGCTTACCTCCATCTCGCCCCTAGACTCAACTTGCATCTCTTTGAACGTCTCCACGGCCGCCTCTCACTTCCCCCCCTTGCCCTGTGAACTCATCAGCGCACCATACACTGCTGCTAATGGCCTGAAAGGCTTACCTCTATCCCTCCCCTCGCCTTGGCCCGCATCTCTCTGAAAGCCTTCACAGGTGCCTCCCACTCTCCTGCCTTGCACTGTTCGCTGATCAGCGTGCAATACACAGCTGTTGTCACCTCCAGGCCCTCATGCTCCATTTCCCTCCTCAGTGCCATCGCCCGTGCTGCATCGCCATCCCTGGCACACACTGCCATGAGCCCATAGTAGGTTGCCTTGTTTGGCGTTGGTCCCCACCTCTGCATGTCATCATAGCACTGCCATGCCATGCCACAGACGAAAGGGGATGGAAGTGAATGTCTTGCAAGCTGCCTGGGCCCTGTGCTTACATCTGATCGATTGCCGCGAGAAGAAAATAAACACCGAGATCCATTGGCGGCACGCAGAAATAAAAATTCTTGTATGTTTAACGCTCAAAGAAGTATAAACATGTCGTTAACTCCGCTCCCCGATCCACCTCCCTTTTCCTCCACCCACTCACCTCCTTTTCCCTCACTCACCCCATAGGCCATGTAGGCACGAGCGGAGGGCACGGCAGCCATGGCATGGATGAGCTTGTTCCGGAACTCGAGATCCAAGTCACGTGCAAACCCACTCGCTGACATCAGCTTGAATGTTCGCAACGCCTCCTCTTGATCCCTTGCCTGCAGAGAATGAGGGATATACAATAGTGAGAGAGCTATATGACATCCTTTTGTGAAATTAGCATCTAGTTTCATGATCTTGATTGGTGATGACCTGCTGAAGGAGGGGAACGAAGTACGGCCGTGGTCGTGAAGTGCCCCCAGAACCAGCAGACACAGCACCAGAACCTCCAACAGCAGCTCCAACTCCCTCAGCACCACCAGCAACTCCAGCACCTCCAGTAGCACCAGCAACACCTCCAGCAGGACCAGCACTAGCAGCTCCGCCAGCAACTCCAGTACCTCCATCAGCACCAGCACCAGCCACACCACCAGCCCCAGTACCAGTAGCACCAGCAGCAGCTCCAGCAGCTCCAGTACCTCCAGCAGCACCAGCAGCACCTCCAGCAGGACCAGCTCTAGTAGCAAACCCAGGGTCAGCAATAACACCAACTCTAGTAGGCTCAAGCGCCCTCAGCTCTAGCTCCTGTAGCACCTCCAGCTCCCACAGCACCACAGCACCGGCGACAGTACCGAGAGTACCACTCACGTAGCTGCTAGGAAGAGAGAACGTCCCCAGGCGCAACACCCCCAGGCTCAGAACCTCCTGACTCAGCACCCCCAGGGACAGCACCCCCAGTCTCAGCACCCCCAGGCTCAGCACCCGCAGTCTCCGCACCCCCAGGCTCAACACCCCCAGTCTCCGCACCCCCAGGCTCAGCACCCCCAGTCTCAGTACCCCCAGACCAAACACCACCAGGCTCAGCACGCTCAGGCTCAGCACGCTCAGTACCTCGCGCAGGGCCAGAGTCGTCAGCTACCTCGACAGGCTCGACCGGGTCTACCTCGGGAAACACCTGAGGGAGCAGGACCCTGGGGAGGCAAGGGGTCTACCGAAGCAGCACCTGGCGTGAGGAAGAGCGGCGGAGGGGGGAGCGAGGTAGTGTGGTAGGGGAGGAGATGGTAAAAGGGGACCGACTCATCAAACGTGATGTCCTGAGAGGGCAGGACACGGTGCGAGGTGGGGTGGTAAAACTGCCAGCACGGCGCGTCAGGGACAAAGCCCAGGAAGACACAAGGAACAGCGCGGGAGGAGAGCTTGTCCGCGGACGTATCGCAGACAAAGGCACGAGATCCCCAGACATGGAACACAGATGCATCGCCAACCGCTCCCGTCCAACACTGTGTCGGCGAGGTCTCTGGAACGGAGACACGGGGCCAGAGGTTGAGCTGATGCGCAGCGTACCGAACCGCAAATGGCCAAAGAAAATGGGGGGCAGCTGCATGGATCAAGAAGGTACGAGCGACCTCCATGACCAAGCCAATGCAGCGCTCGGCAACCCCATTCTGCTGAGGAGAGGCCGGAAGCGTGAACGTCTGCTCAATGCCCTTCCCCTGACAGAAGGCCTCCAAGAGGCCGGAGGAAAACTCACCACCTCTGTCAGAGTGCAGTCGCAGGACGGGAAGGTTCGTGCGAAAGCGCCTCTCCGGCTGGAGACAAGTAGCGCAAATCCAAGGGATCAAGACAGTAGGAACCTCTCCCTTGGTGCGTAAGGGGAAGGCCATGGTGTGACGCGTGTAGTGGTCAACTACCAACAGGAAGTAGCGCTCTCCGCCCTGTCCACGGACGTGGGCTTGGCCCCACACGTCCATGTGAAGGGCCTGCAGAGGAGCCTCTGTCGGGGGGAGCTCAGAGGAGTGAGGGGTGGCACGATGCCGCCCCTCGACACAGGGAAGGCAGGGAGGGGCAGGGGACGGTGGCACGGGAGGCAGTGACCTGGGGAGACCAGAGACAAGGAAGCGAGAGTGCATGCCACAAAGGCACTGCATCGAAGGGTGACCAAGGCGGTGGTGCCAGAGGACCGTCCGGTGCGACAGGGTGCGACACGAACAGGAGGCGGACAACTGATCTGACGCAAACGCACACGCCGCTACCTGAGGGGAATCAGTGGTCAGTGTGTACAAGTCCGACCCCGGCTGCCGAGTGAAGGTAGCCAGGTGACGACCCGTATGGGCACACGTGCATTGTGTCACACGCTCGTAGGCAGGGGTGAACTGGTAAACACCCACGTCTTGGAGCGCGGAGCCCGCCACCAAGTTCATAGAGAACGAGGGGAGGTAAAGGCCCGATAGTGTGCCAGACGGGACAGCAGGACAAGGGAGGGAAGTGGTGGAGGTCGCAAGGACCGGACCCCCAGAGGGGTCAGCCAGGGAGACAGCAACCGGCCTAGGGAGCTGCTCGAGGGCAGTGCAGTCGTGAAAGAAACAGCGGGAATCACCTGAGTCTAGTGCGAAGGTGTGCAGTGCCTTAGTAGACGCAGTACCTGAAGGCGCAGACTCACAAGCACTTGAAGTAGCAGACACATCTGCACCTAGAGCAGCAGCCTCACCAGGACCTGGGGCAGCAGACGCGTTAGCACCTAGAGCGGCAGCCTCAGTGGCACCTGGAGCAGCAGACTGGATACCGGGGTCAGGCGGCACACACAGGTGACAGGCTCCCTCGGGACTAGTAGACAATGCATACATTGCAGTGAGAATAATATCATAGTCAAAAGCAAAGATATGTACCCTCTGCCTTAAGCAGCTCCACCCAGTTGGGGAGCTCAGCGTCATCGCCAAACTCTGTACGCCAAGCGTCGCTCAGTCGGGCGAATCAGCGAGACTCCGTGTGACCACGCGTCCCGCAAGGCTGACTAGTCCGGATACCCTTGCTAATAACGTACGGGCAGCGAGCAGTACTCAGCGACCCTCTACTTTGAGTGTACCACTCACGAAGCTCCTGGGGCAAAAGAGTCTCGCGCGGACGACGCTGCTGCTGCACAGGGCCACTACAAGAAGCTCTCGAAGTACCCACTCCAGGATGACTCCCACTACTGCCACCCTGACAATCCCAACTGGCGTACCACTCGCGAAGCTGCTAGGGCGTGAGGGACACACGCGGACGGCCCTGGAGCTGCATCTGGCCACGCCAGGAGCAGCAGTAGAAGCAAAAGCAGCAGGAGCAACAGTAGCAGCAGCAATAATAGCAATAGCAGCACAGGCAGGGCAGTGCTCACCAGTGGTGGGAAGGGCAGGCGCACGACGGAGGCGACTGCGGGGCCGCTACAGCGGCAAGGCACGGCCGCGACTGCGGCAGGAAGCTCCGAGATGGTCGTTGGTGCAGGGGCGGCTGCTCCTAGGGGCGGCTGCTCCAGGGGTGGCTGCTCCAGGGGCCAGGGGCGGCTCCTGCATTGGTGGCTGCTGCAGTGGCCAGAGGCGTCTGCTGCAAGGGCGGCCACTCCAAGGGCCAGGGGCGGCTGCTGGTGCAGATGCTCCAGGGGCCAGGGGCGGCTGCTGCAGTGGCGGCTGCTCCAGGGGCTAGGGGCGGCTGCTGCAGGGGCGGTTGCTCCAAGGGCGACTGCTCCAGGGGCCATGCGCGGGGTAGGGCAGGGCGATGCGGCGGGCAGGGGCGACGCCACGGGCAGGGGCGACGCGGCTGGCAGGGCGACGCGGCGAGCAGGGCGACGCCGCGGCCAGGGCGGCGCCGCGGGCAGGGGCGACGCGGCGGGCAGGGCGACGCGGCGGGCAGGGCGACGCCGCGGCCAGGGCGACGCCGCGGCCAGGGCGACGCCGCGGCTAGGGCGACGCCGCGAGTAGGGCGACGCCGTAGGCAGGGGAGACGCGGCGGGCAGGGGGCGACGACGCGAGCAGGGGCGACGCCGCGGGCAGGGCGACGCGGCGGACAGAGGGGCGACGACGCGTCAGCAGCTGGGCGTGGCCGCGTCAGCAGTAGGGCGCGGCCGCGTCAGGTGCAGGGCTGGTGGGGCCGCGTGACGGCAGGGCGGGGCCGCGTCCACGTCGGCGGGAGGGCGGGGCCGCGACCGCGCCCAGGCGGGGCCGCGACTGCGGCCTGACGGGGTCGCACGCTGGCCTGACGGGCCTGCAGAGGCTGCGTGGGGGCGGCGAGGGCCTGCACGGGCGGCGTGGTCCTGCAGGGGTAGCACGCCGACTTGACGGGCCTGCAGGGGCGGCTCTCAGGCCTGACGGGCCTGCAAAGAGGGCTCGAGGGCTTGACGGGTCTGCAGAGGCGGCTCGGGGGCATGACGGACCTGCAGGGGCGGCTCGAGGGCCTTACTAGCTTGTAGGGGCGGCGCACTGGCCTAGGGCAGCAGGAGGGCTGCAGGACGGCATGCAGTCAGAATGAAGGGCGAGGCGCACGAGGGCGCTTCTAGCGGAATAGTGGGCCCGTAGTAGGATGCGGTCCTAGGTGGCAACCTAGGCTCGTGATACCATGTCAGAATGAACAAGAGTGATTGAACTAGGAAAGAGTTGGGTACAAGTAGGAAACCCTAAACTTACTGTATCCTAAGTAACTACCCCACTACAGCCTAAACAAACTGTAGCAGATATGACATTTAACAATGTTGGCATGATACATGGCAACGTAATAGTACGGCAGTGTGGCATTATGGCAGTGTGGCATTACATCATTATAGCATGTTAGTTCATGTAGCAATTCTTGGATGGCAGCATGGCAGAAGCTTTGGTCAGAGATTTTCTAGTAGAAGCTTAGGTATTCCTACAACCTACCGTATCTGTTTGGTCCGCTCTTGGCTTTTCTTAGACAGCTTATTTTATTCTTAGACTTTGTAGCTGTTCTTGGTATTGTTGCAACAAATGTACAGTTCTTTTTGGGTTGCATCTAGATGTTGTGAGATACGGTATTTGTATTTAGCTGTTCTTGGATTTCCAATCAATGTGCTCCTACTCCTACTATTTTGACAAAGCAGGTGTATTATCACCCCTAACAAACGTTTGTAGATGTTATGGGACTAACCCTCTAGCTGTGATTGCTTGAGTCGTTACTAGATGAACAATGGTTGGTTGTAAAATACCGTATCGCCCTGGATATAACCGCAGGCCTATTAAACGCGCATGCGCTTCCATCTGGAGCAATGCGCTTATGGCCGATCCTCAATTAGAAGTGCACCCTCTAAAAAATC